ATTGGTTTTTGCCAGACACATAGACGCGTTGAGTGAAGATAGCTGCATACTGAAACCTCACAGATGGATTGGTTTTTGAGTTTGCCAGACACATAGACGCGTTGAGTGGGGATAGCTACATACTGAAACCTCACGAGTTGAGTGATGTTGGATAGTGACAGCACATCGACGCTTTGAGTGATGATAGCTGCATATTGAGACCTAACGGGTTGGGTGACGTTTGCGACTGCCTAACACATAGACGCATTGAGTGACGAAAGCTGCATACCGAAAGCTCACAGGTTGATTTGTATTGCCGGACACATTAACGCGTTGAGTAAGANACGGGTTGAGTGACGCCTGCGACTGCCGAACACATAGACGCATTGAGTGACGAAAGCTGTATACGGAAAGCTCACAGGTTGATCGGTATCGGAGATTGCCGGACACATAGACGCGTTGAGTAAGGATAGCTGTATACTGATCCACAGTAGCTATAGTGAGGGGACAATTCAAGGATACAGTGCACATAGACCCGACCCCCAACCAGTACCCGAACCCCCCCTGAAAAATAGAGGCCATGCGCCCCCCCCCCCTGTCTACCTCTCCCAGAGGATGAGGAGGGTACAGTCTAAAGTAAGCACAAGCTTACCTACGGTTAATGCCTATTGGTACGGCATTAAAATAAATACTAAAGTCCCCCATTGGGCGGTGGAGGACTTAGAGCTAAGACACCCCAAAACTCTCCGGCGTGAGATCCAAAATGGGTCGGACGGTGGAGAAGGGGGGGTGTTCGTTGCTTCAAGTGGATCAATAAAACATAGAGCCATCAGAGCAAAGCTTATTACTCACGTCGAGTAGCCTGTACCGCGGGATTTCGGAGATGATAAATTGGATGGTCGGGGGACGTCTGGGTGTTACTAAGCCGAGCGCCCGGCGCAAGACTGGGGTACTTGTGTCAGGAGGTGTGAACTTGGATCTAGACTACGAGCCTATGTTGGAGGCGCTATTTAGCGTCGGTGAGCCGGCAAAGAACTGAAAGGAACCACACCCCCCGCCGGGCACTCGGATTGGGAAGGCCGAGTATTCCGTATACCTTCCTGAAAAAACACGAAAAACAAGTGGCCACGGTCCAGTTGCCGTAGAGATCATGAGGATGGTGAAGAAGCTTGGAGGATGGAAGCAGAAACTGTGGAAGGGAGACAAGTTGGAGCTGCTGCTGTTTGGGATTCCAAGGGACATGACGAGGATAGAGTTCAAGAACTGTTGTGACAGGGAGGGACTGCACTGCCTAGCACGGGGACAAGTAGGAAGATAGCATGAATACTTCCGGGTGAAATTGACCAAGGGAGACAGCCAAGAGTGCTTGGGGGTTGATATCGAGAAGCTGTCGAACTACGTAAGGAAGTTTGGATGGAGGGTTTGCATCGCGAACATGATAGAAACAGAGAAGGTAAGGAGACAAGAGGCGAGGGCGACGGAGGCGAAGAAAGGACCGAGCAGGGCAGTCGAACAAGCAAGTCAGAAGAAGTCCGAGAAGAAGCGGAAGGCGAACGATAGAGTGCGCAAAATCTCCATTAGGGAAACGCACAAGCTGAGAGTCGGGTCGTGGAACGTGTGCGGGTTTGCAAGGAGTAAGCGCAAGCGGTTGGAAATAGTGGACCAAGTAAAACAAAGCGATCTTGATGTAGTGGGGATCCAAGAGACGTGGGAATTGAAGGATGG